TAGTTTCCACTCCCACCAACAGTGTAGAAGTGTTCCCTTTTCACCACACCCTCTCCAGCAACTGTTATTTTTTGAGTTATTGATAATTGCCATTCTCACAGGAATTAGGTGGTATCTCAGTGTGGTTTTGATTTGCATCTCCCTGATGATTAGTGAAGTCAAACATTTGTTCATGTGTCTATTGGCTGCTCGGATGTCTTCCTTTGTGAAGTGTCTGTTCATATCTTTTGCCCATTTTACACTGGGGTTGTTTGTGTTTTTCTTTTTAGCATGTTTGAGTTCCTTGTAGATCCAAGATGTTAAGCCTTTGTCAGACCTGGAGTTGGCAAATACTTTTTCCCAGTCTGTAGGCTGTCTCCTTGCTCTCTTGATGGTTTATTTGGCTTTGCAGAAGCTTGTCAGTTTAATGAGGTCCCACTTGTGTATATTATCTCTTATAGCCTGTGGGTTTCAAGTTTTGTTCAGGAATTGGATGCCAATTCCAATTTCCATGAGGGTATGTCCTTCATTTTCTAAGGTTCTTATGGTTTGAGGTTTTACATTTAGGTCTCTGATCCATGTGGAGTTAATTTTTGTGTATGTGGATAGATAGGGGTCCTGTTTCAATCTTCTGCATGTGGTCAGCCAGTTTTCCCAGCACCATTCACTGAATAGGTTCTCCTCTCCCCAGTGGTAGGTGGTGGAGGCTTTGTTGAAGATGAGTTGGTTGAGAAATTGAGGTTTGCTTCTGGAATCTCAATTCTATTCCATTGATCTATATTCCTATACCAATACCAAGCTGTTTTGATGATTGCAGCTATATAGTAAAGTTTGATGTCTGGTAATGTGATACCACCTGCTTTGTTTTTTTGCTGAGGATTGTTCTGGCTATTCTTGGTCATTTGTGTTTTCATATGAATTCCTGTGTTGTTTTTTCTAGATCTGAGAAGAATGTTGCTGGTAATTTGATAGGGCATTGAATCTGTAGATTGCCTTAGGTAAGATGTTGATTCTTCTAATCCATGAACATGGGATATTTTTCCACTTGTTTGTGTCATCTTTGATTTCTTTGAGCAGAGTTTTGTAGTTTTCATTGTAAAGGTCTTTCATGTCTCTGGTTAGGAAGATGCCAAGGTATTTCTTTTTTTTTTTTTTTTGTGGCTATTGTGTATGGAATTGTGCTTTTTATTTGAGTTTCTATTTGTTTATTATTGGTGTAAAGAAATGTGATTGTGTCTTGCACATTTATCTTATATCCTGAGACTTTGCCAAAGGCCTTTATCAGTGTAAGGAGGTTTTTGACAGATTATCTTGGGTTTTCTAGGTACACAATCATGTCATCTGCAAAGAAAGATAACTTGACTTCCTTTTTTCCTATTTGGATACCCCTGATTGCCTTCTCTTCTCTGATTGCTCTAGCCAGGACTTTCAATACTATATTGAACAGGAGGGGTGAGAGTGGGCATCCTTGTCTTGTTCCAGTTTTCAGGGGAAATCATTCCAATTTTTGTCCGTTTAGGAGTACGCTGACTGTGGGTTTCTCGTAGGTGGCTTTTACTATTTTGAGGTATGTTCCCCGTATGCCTAGATGTTCAAGGGTTTATATCAAGAAGGGGTGCTGGATTTTATCAAAAGCTTTTTCTGCATCTAATGATATAATCATGTGGTTTTTGTTTTGACATCTGTTGATGTATTTAATTACATTTATGGTTTTCTGAATGTTGAACCAGACTTGCATCCCAGGAATGAAGCCTACTTGGTCATGATGGATGATTTTTGAGATGTATTGTTGAATTCGGTTTGCTAGGATCTTATTGAGAATTTTACCATATATGTTCATCAAAGACATTGGCCTGTAGTTCTTTTTCTTTGTTGGATCTTTACCTGGTTTGGGTACAATGTGATGTTAGTTTCATAAAATGATTTGGGGAGGGTTCCATCTTTCTCAATCGCCTGAAATACCTTCAGTAGGATTGGAATCAGCTCTTCCTTAAATGTCTTGTAGAATTCTGCTGGAAAGCCATCTGGTCCAGGGCTTTTTTAGGTAGGTAGTTTTCTTATTGCACAGTCAATTTCCTTGATTGTTATTGGTCTATTTAGGGTCTCAATTTCTTCTTGTTTCAACCTAGGCAGGTTGTGTGATGACAGAAAGTCCTCCGTTTCCTTGAGGTTTTCAAGTTTGTTTCCATACAAGTGTACATAGTAGTCTCTAATGATCTTTTGTATTTCTTCAGGGTCAGATGCGACTTTATCTTTTGTGTTTCTGATTATGCTTATTTGAGTTTTTTCCTCTCTTTTTCTTTGTCAGTCTAGCCAGGGGACCATAGATCTTGTTTATCCTTTCGAAGAACCAGCTTTTTGTTTCATTGATTTTTTGTATTGTCTTTTTTCTTCTATGTCCTGGATTTGGGCTTTTATTTTGGTGATCTGGATTCTTCTGCTGAAATTAGGGTTTTTGTAGTCTTGCTTTTCCAGCTTCCTTAGGTGACTTGTTAGGCTGTTAATTTGTGATCCTTCCATTTTCTTCATGTGCGTTTGTAGGGATATAAATTCCCCTCTTACTACAGATTTCATGACCTCCCAGAGATTTTGGTAAGATGTTTCTTCATTTTTATTTGTTTCCAGGTATCTGTTGATCTCTGTTTGATTTCATCATTGACCCAGGAGTTGTTTAGCATCATACTGTTTAGTGTCCATGTCTTTGTGGGTTTTTGGGGGACCTTGTTGGTGTTAATGTTTATTTTTATTCCACTGTGATCCAAGAAGGTGCATGGTAAAATTTCGGTTCTTTTAAATTTGCTTATGCTTGATTTATGGCCAATTATGTGGTCGATCTTAGAATACGTTCCATGCAGTGATGAGTAGAATGTGTATTCTTTGGTCTTTGGATGGAGTGTTCTGTAGGTATCAATTAATTCCATTTGGTCAAGAGTCACATTGAGGTTCCGGATCTCATTGCTGATTTTTTGTCCTGATGATCTGTCTAGGGTTGTGAGTGATGTATTAAAGTCCCCAGTTATGATGCTGTTAGAGTCAATATCTTTCTTTAGTTTTCCTAGAAGTTGCTTTATGAAAGTTGACGCACCTATGTTAGGTGCATATATGTTTAGGATAGATAATTCTTGTTGATGGAATGAACCTGTTATCATTATGTAGTGGCCTTCTGTATCTTTTTTAATTTTTGATAACTTAAGTGATATCTTGTCTGAAATTAGGATCATGACTCCTCCTTTCTTTTGTGTTCCATTAGCCTGAAAATTTGTTGCCCATCCTCTTACTTTGAGTCTGTGCGTGTGAGATGGGTCTCTTTCTAGTGAGATGGGTCTCTTGATGGCAGTATATTATTGCCTGGTGATATTTTATCCATTTTGCCATTCTATGTCTTTTCAGTGGTGTATTTAGTCCATTCACATTCAGGCTAATTATTGAAATGTTAGAGTCGTCCCTATCATAGAGTTCTTATAGAGTTGTTGTTCTTCCACTTGGTTTTTTGTCTTTCTTTTGGTTTTGGGATTGGTTCATATGCATTTTATTCTTCTTCCTGTACTCTTGTGAAGAATGTTGTTCATTTTTCCTTTTCTTCTGTGTTTCGTACTTTCTTAAGTGTTTCATGTAGAGGTGGTGTGGTGGCAGTGTAAGTTCTTAGGGATTGGATATCTGGGAAAGATTTTAATTCTCCCTTGCTGATGAAGCTTAACTTGACTGGGTAGGTTATTCTTGGTTGAAATTGTTTATCTTTTAGCACTTTGAAGATAAAGCTCCAAGCTCTCCTAGTCTGCAGGGTTTCTGTAGATAAATCTGCTGCGATTCTAATTGGTTTTCCATGGTAGGTGATCTGGCCTTTTTCTCTTGCTGCCTTTATGATTTTTCCTTTATGCCTACTTTGTTTAGGCAAATTATTATGTGTCTAGGAGCTGGTCTTCTCATTTGTTGTTTTGCAGGGGTTCTCTGAATCTCTTGTGTTTGAATTTTTGCATCACTGATTAGATAAGGAAAGTTTTCTTGAATGATCTCATGGAAAGTTTGTTCCAGTGTGGTCTCTGTCTCTCTTTCTGCCTCAGGAAGGCCAATTACTCTTAGGTTCAGTCTCTTGAAGTAATCGCTCATCTCTTGAAGGTTTTGTTCTGTCTTTTTGAGCTTGCTTTCTGTGTTTTTAAGAGTTTGGGTTAGTTCTATATTTTGGTCCTCAAGCTCTGAGATTCTTTCTTCTGCTTGGGTAATTCTGCTTTCCATGCTTATCAGTTTGTTATTTATTTCATTCACAGTATTCTTTATCACTGTTATCTCAGATATCAGCTCCTTCCTAGATTCTTCTTGTCTCTCCTCAATTCTTTTTAATCTCTTCATTAATGTCTTGATATCTAGGTTTGTAGTTTGAGACCAGTCATTCTGGGGGCTCTTCATTGTTTGCATTCCGAGGTCAGTTTTCTCAGTGTCTGCCCTCCTAGGGCTCTGGGAAAGACCCATATTCTTCTTTTGGTTTTTCTTCATTTGTGTAGATTTTTCTCTCTCTCCCCTTCTTTAATTCTGTTTTTCAGGGAGGGTGGGATTGCTTTTGTTTCACTTGTATAATCTCCTGTTCTTCCTTATGAGGGTCCTCTGGCTTTGTTCACTTTTGAGGTTGGAGTGTGGGCTGCGGGCTGTACTTTTTGCAGTTTTGAGGTTTAATTGAGGGGGAAGCTGTGATTCAGAATCTATATGCTGATTCCGGCATCCACCAACAGGTGTATGGACACATTGGAATGTATTTCCCACTGCCTTACAATCTGTCTGTGCAGTGGTATGTATGTTTGGTTCCTGGATCAAAAGGAGGTACAAAAGGGGAAAATAATAGAGGAGGAGGGGGGTCAATAGGAAGTTAGAAAGAGAGAAGAGTGAGAGGGAAAACAGACATACATACCAACTACCAGGAGAAAAAGAGACACAAGGCCGGAGAGAAGTGAAAAAAACACAGAAGGAAAATTCCCTAAGGAATATCATTAGCTACACAGAGACAGACAAATAAAATCATGAAACAGATAGTGTAAGTCAGAAAGCAAACAAAAGTGTGCAAAACATACAGTCAGAATGATAAAATCAAAAGTCAAAATAAGAGATCAGACTAACCCTGGAATTTTTCCTGAGTGTCTAAATTCGCTTCAGCTCTGATCTCCAGCCTCGTCCCTTTGCTTTTGATGCAGGCAGCTAGCCTGCTGCCTGGGAGGTCTGCGATGCTTAGTTGTCTCTGTCTGTTCAGCGTAGAGAGGGGCTTTGTCTCCTGTTTAATAACGTTACCCCAGGAACCAAGGTGGAGGCTCTGTTAGGTGGGCAGGGAAATGTAAATCTGCCTGAAGAATAGTTGAGGTGGCAGTTTCAATTTCAGGGATCTTTTCTCTCCACTCATCTGGGTCTCTGGGTGAGAGGCACTGGGGATTAACTGCACAGCTGGGTGCTGGATTTGGGGTGCCACCAGCATGCTGGGGTGGAGGAGAGGGTCGGGTGTTCCCTCCTCTGGAGCTGGGAGCCTCCGATCAGCACCTTACACAAGCTTGGGGTTCTGTTCCCTTACACAAGCTTGGGGTCACGCGCTGAGTGCCTCAGCCAGGGTGGGCACAGGGCTACAGAGCTCCAAAGCTCCAAAGGGTAGCAGTAGCCCTGGGTCCCTCACAGGGTACTTCAGCCAGAAATGGGACTGGTATCTCTGAGGGGTGTGTGCCCAGAGCCTCCCTGAGTGACCAGCAGCTTGGTGCTGGGTGCTGGGCGAGACGATGTAGCCAGGGAGGGAGCTGAGACCCGGGACTCCCATGCAGGCGGGAGTCACATATAGTGGAGCAGCAGCAGCCGGGGGCCACAATATCTGACCCTGCGTGGGACCAAAGGTCCCCGGGCCTCCTACCAGTGCAGCTGGCAGTGGACAAGGGGCTGTGGGAAAAACAGTAATAGTCTTTTTTGGAACTCACATTTGGAGAGTCTCACAAATCCACCTATGCCATCGCCATCCTACTGGAACTCCCAATTTTTTTATTTCTGAGGTATAAATTACAGCTAAGTAGCTACAGCCATTTTCTGCAATATCTATCCTCTGAAAGCATCTCTAATTCTATTAAATAGTTACAGTATCATTGACATCTTACTCTGAGTAGACAAACTCATTTTATACACATTTTTTAGTCTTAACGCAGGATTTTATTGTTGAGGAACTTGAAATTTGAGCTGGGGAAAGAAAAAAAGTGAGCAGATAGTTCAGTGGTAAATACTTAATAAATTGAGATCAAGATAGATTGTTAATAGTTCTAATTCTAAGAAATGGGCATTTTACTTTTAAGGGTCAAATTATTACTTTAAGACTGTCAGTATATAGCAATTTAAAAAAAGAGATATTATTATGAGCACATATGTATTGATTGAGTCTCTGTTAATGCTCTATTAACATTCTTTTCAGAGTGAGATGTGACATCCTTATTTTACTACAGGTTTCCATGACTCTCTTCCATTTTCTTCTCCTCTCCCCATAGTGGCCTCTCCTTGCTTATTCTCAAGCAACAGGGCATCACCTCTCTACATTTCCAGTCTCTGAAAGAAATCAGCGCAGGAAACATCTATATTACCGACAACAGCAACCTGTGCTATTATCATACCATTAATTGGACAACACTCTTCAGCACAATCAACCAAAGAATAGTAATCCGGGACAACAGGAAAGCTGAAAACTGTAGTAAGTACATTACTTGGACATTTAAAGCATAGATACTTTAAAAATCATCTCCTATTTGCATTGGACCAAACAATTAAAAATAATAGGAAATTAGATTTGTTGCTCTCTTATTTCAACCCTTAAAAAAAGGAAAGTTTTTATAACTACCAACATAGTATAAAATAATCAGAATAACTGACTTTTATATAGCATGTTGCATGTTTGCATATCTGTCCTCCAAATTTTAAGAACTCTCCTGTGGAGATTTTGATTGAGTAGGTGTAAGTGAAACCTGGGAAAGTAAATGAGCATCACTGGTAATTCCATGGATCCAATCAGTTGGTAGAAATCCACTCTTTGAATTATCTGTTTGGTTTCAGTGAGTTGGGTAATAGAATAATAGAGCTTTGCTACTTAGGGTCTAAAAGGAAGATATAGTCTTTTGAAAAATGGAAAAAAAAAATACTATCCAAGAAGTTTACTGTTTAAGAAGTTTTAATTTTCAAGAAATGTTCATATTATAAATGTACTTATGTAGTCATGTTATTGTCTTTTTTTGTCATCTATTTTACTACTTATTGATTCATTTAATCACTTCTTTGTTACACCAAAGCAAATAATGTTTTTATAGCCACATAACTATGCCATTCTTATCTAATACCTTGATACTTCAATGATGAATGCTTAATTCTTCCCTGTTTTCTGCACCGTACTGCTTTTTTCTACATCCTATGAGTGCCACTATTATGCAGATTTGGTAAATAGTGAACAAAAAAGCTCAGAACTCAAAGTATCTGTTTGCAAATGGATATTCTTGTGAGCATGGAGTCAGTTCTTTCTAAAAATCAGGGAAAAGGGAATTTTCTTCTTTGATCTCTTCTTCAGAACACTCTAAGGGTACACAGAAATAGTGATTGTGTTCATTTGTATGTGTGTGTGAATAAATAGTAGATTTTTTTAAAACAAACTCTTAAGATGACAACATGACTTAGGTTTACTCAATTAAGTAATCAGAGAATTAATTTATTTATTAATACCTCTCTTTGTTCCAGAAAAGGTTTAAGTCTAGCAATTTTCATAAAATATAACATAAATTGAAACTCACTTATAATTTGACTGTTTTCAGTTCTTAGAAATATTTTACAAATAAATGAAATCTATCGCAACATGAAGTTACTGCTTTGAGTCAACTTAAGTTTTTACATATTCTTCTGTTCCACATAAAATTGAACAATATAAATCTTATTATGTATCAAGATATGCATATACTCATTGAAGGACATTCATCCCTTTCATTGAGCCTGAATTATTTTCTTGGTTTTGCACATTACGAATTTCCGACAGAAAGTTTCCTTTGCTTTTTCTCTAATACCTAGGCTTCTTACTCTGCATTGCCCAATGTATGCCCCAAAGTAGGTGGTTCATGGCAGTAAGATAGAATCTTCTCCAACACAAATTTTAAAAAAATCTCCTAGTCAGAGCTATCCTCTCTTTTTCTTCTACTTCCTTAAAAAATAGTACCACAACCTTTCAAAAACAAGATTTAACTATAGAGATAAAATAATCTAAAGGAAAACATAAAAGAATCAGAGGAACCATTTTTCTTTGACAAACTTAATCAGTTTACAAGTCCTTTATTCATATTTTATATACATGAAAGTAAAAACAAGTGAGAAAAAGGAAATACAGAAACAAATTAAATATAGAAAAGCAAGGCTGGGCGTGGTGGCTCAACCTGTAATCCCAGCGTTTTGGGAGGCTGAGGCAAGAGGATTGCCTGAACTTAGGGCTTTGAGACCAGCCTGGGCAACTTGGTGATACCTTGTCTCTACGATAAATCACAGAAACTAACCAGGCGTGGTGGTGTGCGCCTGGTGTTACAGCTACTTGGAAGGCTGAGGCTGAAGGATTGTGTGAGACCAGTAAGTCGAGGCTGCCGTGGCCGTGAGCATGCCACTGTACTCCAGCCTGGGCAACAAGAGTGAGACTCCAACTCAAAAAAAAAAAAAAAAAAAAGGAAAAAGAAAAGCAAGATGGGAAACAAGATTTCAATAAATTATATTATGTTATTTCATACCTCTTTAAAACTTTTAAACTTTTTAAGCAACCAAAAGACAGTGAATAATAATGATGGTAATCTAAGATGTTTATAAACTTTCAGTGTTATGCTTCTTACACTGAATTTAACCATTTTTCAGATCATGAATTATTTTTTATTGTTCTTTTCACAAAGAGTTAACTTTGTAGTTTGGGGAAGAAATGAAGCAGTTAGGAGAGACACAATTTTGTGCTGCTATAGTATAAAATCAAGCACACCATTTTTCATTTTGAGCATCTTAGAATAAATATATTTTGCATGAAATCCATTTATCAAAATTTGGACTTCAGTCTCACAGCACACTGGGTTCATAAAAATACCATAAGCCTGCATTTTCAAAAATGTAATTACCCTGTAAACTTGACCTCTGAGATGCTGCTGATGTTTACAATAAGCCAGCAGTGGTTCCCCACATATGATTAAAACCTTCTTGTCATCCCCAGTCCTATCTGTAAATGGGAAGGTCTACATGTTTCTTCATTTACAATACACAGTGAAGATTACATTTTTAGAGATTATGTCTTTGTATACCAGACACACACAAGATATGCACAAGCACACACACATATTTACCACAACACATAGGCATACATGCATATATAGCATACATGTGTGTATGAACATGCACATACAACACAAGTCCATGCACATACACCCAGAGCCTGTGTGCACGTGTGCACTCGTGCACACGCACACACACACACACACACACACACACACACACGCATTCTTACATCCCCACCTACGCATACACAAAGTCGCTAGAAAATACTCTGATCTATATCTGGGAGTTGACTTGTTAACTTAAAAGAAAAGGCAACCCTTCATTTGTAACATCATTTTTTGGAGTTCAACATGATTTAAAGCAGGAATGACAGTAAAAGGAAAATTTCACCTCTTCAATAACGGTTGACAGTGGCTTGAGCAATCTTACTCTTTTAAGTCAAGATTTCAAAGCCGACTTTATAGTTTGAAGAGATTGAGATTGAGGGACACTCTAGGACATGAAAAGCTAGAACATTTTCTGCCTCTGTCGTTTATGTGGTTATAGTACTAACAAAATGGCAGTGCTGTGTGGAAGAAGTTTTAGGGTAGGTTTATAAAAGCATTTGAAGTTTCTTAAAATATCTAAGCATACATTTTTAACACTGAAATGTAAACAGTACAGAGATATATATTACGCCAACCCATCAGAATCTGAGTTATATCTGAACTCATACATCTCATATCTTAAAAATATTTGTATAGATACAGTTAAACTCAACATAAATGAGAGAGAAATTAAATTCATTAATTTTTTAAAATAGAGATATTTTTATTTTTTAAACTATAATAATACCTTTTTCATTGTTAGAAATCTAAACAATCAAAAAATATATAAAGAAGATATAATTTTTGGTGGATATATCTGCAATGGATATAGCTGTATATAATGAAATGTATATTTTCACAAATAAATAAGGTCATACCATTTATCTTTAAATACTGTTTAGTATCTATGTCTTCTACTGAACATATTATGGGCATCTCTCATGCCAGTATATAGAACTCTTTCTTATTCCCTTTAAAAACTGTGTATAGAATTATTGGTATTTGCTGAATCATTACTATGTGAATAATATTGCAAATTATTTTCCATTTTTCATATTACTACTGCCACAATATATATCCTAGTTCAAAAACATTTTGTATTGTGCAATTATTTTCTGAGACTAAAATCCTAGGAGTGGATTGGTGTAAAATTGTTCTTCTACATTTCTACAGCATCTTTCAAAAATATTGAATCAGTTTACTTGTCCCAAATACTGTATTATAGGAATGATTTGGACCACTCTTTACAGCATTGGATATTAACCATGGTTTTAAATTTCAGTCATCTAAAAGAAGAAAAAGAGGTCTTTTACATTTACATGATAAATCTATCATTTACATTTTTATCTTGTAAATTGCCTTATCGTGTACCTACTTTTTTTTTTTTTTGCCATTTTCCATTTGGTTATTGGTCTTTTTCTCTTCTAAATTTGAAAGAGCTCTTTACAAATTAAGTACATTAAGTTTTGTTCCTTCATGTGTTTATGAATAACTTTTCCTCCTACTAGTGCTTTTAAACATTTTGTTTTTAAATAAACCAGCATTTCATGTTTTTATATAGTTAAGTGAATGGATTTTTTTTCAAGTTTTTTATCTTGTCATATTTTTAGACAATTATGTTTTTCTCTCTCCCCCCCCCCCTTTTTTTTTCTGGAGTCTCACTCTGTCGCTCAGCCTGGAGTGCAGTGGCGGCTCCCGGCCACTGCAGCCTCAACCTGCTGGGCTCTGGCGATCCTTTCACTTCAGCCTTCCAAGTTGCCTGAACTACAGGTGCGTGTTACCATGACCGGCTAACTTTTTAAATATTTTATTTTATTTTAGAGATGAGGTCTCGCCAAGTTGCCCAGGCTGGTATCGTACCCACGGGCTCAGGTAATCCACTCGCCTTGGTCTCCAAAGTGCTGGAATTACAGGCTGAACCACCTAGCCCGGCCGACAATTATTTTTTTCTAGCAGTTTAAACTAAAAGTTTTCAATTCATCTGGAAGTTTTGGCCTAGCAGTTTTAAAAATCTTTGATTGACTAGGATATTGATTCAAATAATTTATCGAACAACCCATCTCTCCTCACTGATTGCAATATTTCAGCTAATCAGTTAAAATCATTTATCTCTCAATCTACCTATATAGTTTAAATCTTTCATCACCATTACCCTGTAAAGTATAATTAACCCCATTTTAAAAATGAGTATATAGATGTTAAGAAAGTTAAATAATGTTCCTAATTTTAGAGCTACTAAAAAGTATATCCAGAATTTGAACTCGGTGTCTGTCTGATTTCAAAGTCAAGTCTTCATTTCATCATAATTCTCTCAAAAAGTAATAATTTTTTA